TGGCGGGGAAATGGAGCTTCTCTTGCCGGCTACCTTCTCTGGCCAATTAATACCCTTTTTAGGCCGATTTCTACGATTTATTCAGCCCGCAAAAGAAGTCTGGTGGAGACTACATAATCTCCAAGCAGATCCCTTTCGGTGGCAAAAAGACAGTATCAAATTGGCCAGGCAGTATCCATTAGCCAGAGAAGGTCCGCGGCCACCGACGGGTGGGGGTAGCGACAAAAAAAAACGGCCATATATAAAAAGCTAACGATAATTCCCCCACAGCCTCTGCTTGGAGAGTTATACCCCTATGCATGTGGTAAGCGAAATCAACCCTATCCCACAGCATACTGATATCAGTGAGGCAAAAGTTACGTATATATACTGACGGAAAGCAGCTGCCTGTTTCCTATCGTAGACTGCAGGTTCTAGCTATTCATTGGCAGTAGCAACGTTAACAATTAACAGGAATCCTTACGTAGATTCTTTTTGGACTATTTCAAACGCTTAGAAGTATGGAATGATGATAAAGATGTGATAAGAAATGGCAGTGAATTGTAATGAATGCCAATGCCTTACAGATTTCCTCATCCAGAATATTTTTTGTTATGCCGCTCTGAAGCATTGAAATCTCATGTCTTTAAAACAAAAGTCATTCATAAGTCTTCTTAGCTATTGATACCAAGACACTTAGATGGTATTTAAAAATCTAGCGCAAAATTTTCAGTCACCGTCTCTTAGAAAGACGAGTACGTGTTGCTCACTTAGGAAGTGAATAAAGAACACGTTTGAAATGTTAACGTTTAAACCTGTTATCAACGTGCGTGGCAATGTGGTCTTGTGGTTAGGGCTATTGACTCGGAATCTGATGGTTCTGGGTTCGAATCCCTTGGGTTGTGTCCTTGGGAAAGGCCCTTGACACCTATTTCCTCTCTCGACCCAGGTGAAAGTACCTAGCTTCTGTTAGGGACGTCCTCTCGGATGTTAGGTAAATCGGAGGTGTTTGAAGATAGGCTGAGCACGTTAAAGATCCCTCCACACTTATCGAAAAGAGTAGGGCACCTTCCTGGTGTGAGTGGTTCAAACCTTACAGTCTGGTCTCAGGTTTGACATCTTTAAAAGGTGATAGTCACCTGTTATGTCAACGCTTCCACAAAGTATGGTAAATCTCGATAAATAAGAATATACTAACATTAGCAATATGCTCGCCCATACACTGCGTAGCCAAATCTAGTTGCAGGATGTTGCATCAAGAATTGTACATCTCCTATATATATACATTTGTTTTAGCGACATGTCAAATGCTTTATAAAAGTCTAATACACAGAAAATCAATTAAACTTTCTAGCTAAAGCCATAATTAGGTAATTCCCAGGAATTAGAAGCTAAGATTACACAGCACGCATCGCAGTGGAAGATTGCACTATTAATTAGAAACTGTGAGGCTATGACATGAAAGCATTCCTAAGACGGGGCCTGAGGTACATATGTGCAAATATGTCGTTAGTTCAGTTGTAACAATACGTCTTTAATTAGTTCTACAGACAGCAGTGTCTGGTTTCCACCGGTTTAAACTGGTTTGCAGGAAACCGTAATGTCTGAAGACTTTCTAGATAATACACAGCGCACAGTATGGTGCAATAAAAGGAAACAAAAAGATACGTTATATAAAAGTATGATTTCATACACGTATAAACACATATAACAAGACTCTAGAAGGGGCACCAATGATTACGCGTTATTTTGCATATTGAGAAATGTATCTTCAATCTATTTGTTTTGATAATGTCCACGAATTTCTTTTACCCTGATATTCCCTACACATGATACCTCACTTGGCATTTAACGCATACTTTACATATTTTATTAACTCCTTGATAAGTGTTGCATATAGTTATCATAATAGCTACAGGTATCATAATAGCTACAGGTGTTTAACATCTTGCGAAACTTTTTCCTTCGTTTTAGAATAACTTTTGTTGAAAAAACTCTTTTGCAAACTTAACTGCGATGTTGGGCGTTTGTAGGCAATAGACGTTACCAATACAGCAGCATCTAAGCCGGACTCAGCAAAACAATGTTTCTAGAACAATCTGATAGTACACGAAAGCCATTCTTTCCACGCGCTTTAAAGTGTGCGTAAAGATTTCGTTTCTACACTTAGCTTGCATATACCTTTAAGCGTTCTTTAATATATGCTAAAAGGCAGGGTTTCGTGCAGTGTGACACAGCAAAAAATCTGCAGGAAATTCTTAACCTCATCGGACATCCTGAGTATTAGGGTATTAACTCATTACATGACTCTTGTCCATGTTTTCTTTTATACATATACAAATAGACTATAGTTATGAAAAGAACCGAGGCCATGTGAGTCAGATAGAGGAAACAGGTGGTTCACCACATCCCACACATTCGTGGTATTAGAGTTATGTAGATAATGAATGTTTACACTGATACTAAGTATCACGTTGTATTACTAAGTATCACATTGTGTAGGTAGACTATTTCCGGCCTAACCTTACCTGCATGAATCGTTCCGCAACTATAACCAAATTTGGACATCTACACCTACACACAGATATGGTAATTGCTGAAGATATGACTACTAACTTTCCTAGAACTATCGCAGAGTGGAACTCGCTGTCACTAAGTACAGTAGGGTGATAGATAGCTTTAGATAGCATTAGATAGCTTTAAACAATGTCTAGAGTTAGAATTTCAAGGGCTAGGTGTACATGTAACAAGTCGATCGGTGTAATGTAGCCAGCTGCCGCCACGCCGCGTGCCTGCGAAGCTGGTGTGTTACGCCGAAAGGCGGTTATACCGGCTATACAGATGCAGATACTATCTTGAAGGCACCCTATGAAAATATTGTATGGCAAAACAAAAGAAGATATTCTGGATAAGGAAATATGTCTGATATTGAAATTTACTATTATTTCGTGGCATATTTCCTCATTATTCAAGCGTTTGACCCCCCCTCCCCAATTTGGCCAACGTCAAGCTACTTGACGAGTCCCTTTATTTTATAGTACTATGATACGAAACAAGCAAATATTTTCCATCAATGACATCACATTTTGCCTCAGTATCAGTAGGCTATAGATTCAACTTACTACATCAGAATGAACATAAAACTGACTTTTGAAAATACAGTTTTACTTACGTGAAATAGCTTTGGGTTCTTTCAAGGTTTCACCTGTGTAGACGGGGAAAGTGTGGACTATACAAATGATGCACCTGGGATTTTGTTTCTCAGTTACCGGCCCTAACCAGTTTAGAAACCAGTACATATGTCAGACCACATCATCGTTCCCTCAAGGCTAGATGTTCAATTCAATCAATCACTGTCAAGCCAAAAAAATCAGCAAAAAATTAAGTGAAATGAAGAACATTGAAAAAGGAACAAAACTTTGTGTATGTGGCAACCCAAACGTATTGGTCAAATTCCTTTTTTAGACTTTTATCGATGATTCAAAAACAACGAAAAGGTATTAGTGTATGTCCAATTAAATGTATGAATATTCATGATTCCCAAGGGAATACTGAGAAACCATACATGGCATCTCAGTAATCATGGCAAAAACAACGAAAAAGTCTTAGTGTATGTCAAATCAAATGTATGAATATGCATGATTCCCAAGGGATTACTAAGAAATCACACGTGGCATCTTAGTAGTCATAGCATGGTTTGAGTATAATTGTCCTGGGGTGTTCATACTAGCATCTATGTGTGTCATTGGGAGCACATGTCATTGATGATATGATGTCAAGGATATGTCACATTCTCCGTATACATTCTACACATAAAACTGTCATTCATTTAAAGAATGGAGCAAACCACAACAAGACCACAGAACTTGTATGCAACGTGGTGTTAGTTAAATTGGGTGCATACGCTTCTATTGTGTTGTGATATTCGTGAAAATTGCTAGGTTTCAAGATCATCATATTTATGTCACATTCTCCGTATACATTCTCTACATAAAGCTGTCATTTAAAGAATGGGACAAACCACAACAAGATCGCAGAACTTGTATGTAACGTGGTGTTAGTTAAATTGGGTGCATACGCTTCTATTGTGTTGTGATATTCGTGAAAATTGCTAGGTTTCAAGATCATCATATTTATGTCACATTCTCCATATACATTCTCTACATAAAGCTGTCATTTAAAGAATGGAGCAAACAACAACAAGACCGCAAAACTTGTATGCAACGTCGTGTTAAATTGGGTGCATACGCTCCATTGTGTTGTGATATTTGCGAAAATTGCTAAGTTTCAAGATCATCATATCAGTCACATTCTCGATATACATTCTCTACATAAAGCTGTCAGTAAAGAATGGAGCAAACCACAGCAAGACCGCAGAACTTGTATGTAACGTCGTGTTAAAATGGGGGCATACGCTTCATTGTTTTGTGATATTCGTAAAAATTGCTAAGTTTCAAGATCATCATATTTATGTCACATTCTCCATATACATTCTACACATAAAGCTGTCATTTAAAGAATTGAGCAAACCACAACAAGACCGCAGAACTTGTATGTAACGTGGTGTTAAATTGGGTGCATACGCTTGTGTTGTGATATTCGTAAAAATTGCTAGGTTTCAAGATCATCATATTTATGTCAGATTCTCTATATACATTCTCTACATAAAGCTGTCACTTAAAGAATGGGGCAAACCACAACAAG